GTTAACTAATATACTGGGAGGAAAAGAAACAAAGTTGTCCGTGGAAGCACTGGATTGAATTATCTTGTTCCCTCCCAGCTACAGCATGCAATCAGTATTTATTTACTTGCAAGTGGAAGGTGTGCCATTTCAAATACTCTCCCCCTGACTGATGCAGGCCCCTGCTGGATCACGCTATTTAACTCTCTCTTTGGAGCTGCTTGGTTTTCAGCTGGCTTATCATGATATATGTGTGCTGTGCATACCATGGCATGTCAGGCTAGATCAGACTACAACTTGTCACACAGAGCAACAAATTAAGGCAGTATGAGTGAGCTGCAGATATATATCACATGGCATTGGGAAGTTAATAAAACTTAGTTTGGTGGAAAATATTTTGGTGTGTAGTAAGCATCCTTTGGATCATGTTTCCTTCTCTCTTGGCTGGTAGGATTGTTTTTTTTTTTTCATGTGCACACTTTGAAACTCAAGAGGTTATTATGTTATGTTATTTAGAGGTATACACTTAAATTTGTGTCTTTGTTGTTCCCTCTGTTCCCTGAAGAGACTAACTGGTTAAAGTTGCTTTGCAAAATTATTCCAACTGATTTTTATATTATCACTTACTTTGCATTATTAGAAGAAGCTATTAACAGAAGATGGGAAAGCTGCTGGGAACTAATGGAAGCTATATGGGTATTTAAAGGAAGTTAAGTTCATAAGAGAGAGAAGAACATTCTCCGTTAACATAAGAATCACTGAAAATTTTTGCCGATATCTCAGTTTCACGTTCACCCAGACACTTCTTTCCTTTGCTGCCCCAACTTGGGTCATAAGCATTGAAAGACACAAAGAAAATAATTCCTTTTCTTTTAAGCCAGATGCGTTCTAGAGAGCTCAGCAAACTTGGTGGAGGAAAAGGGTGTTGAATGCAGAGCACCAAAGGGGCCAGCCAGGACACTGGGGCTTTGCCCGTCACCCTGTTTGACTTCTCATAGTTTGTTTAGGCATCAGTTCAGGGAGACTCAAAGCCACGTGGCTGACTCCCAGCACAGGTAGTTTCACAGGAGTCAACCGAAAACAATAGGGCTGTTAAGCTGTTGGAGTCGGAGCTGTACAAACGTGTTTCCTTCAGTCTGGTGGCTAAGCAGCGAACTGAAAACAAGATTCAGGTCAGGTTGAACCTGAAACACACAATGTGTTGATGGAACAGACTTAAAAGCCCCCCAAAAGGTTCATTTTGGATCAACTAAGGCTGTTTTGATTGATCAAGAATGGAAGTTTTCTTATTGTTTTTAACCCAAAATTTAAACAACAAACAGTTCCAGCTGAAAAACTCCCTTATTTCAAAACATCAAAATGAAATTTAAAGCGATGACAATTCACTCTCTTACTGAAAAGCCCAATATTATATTTGTCATATTACTTTCCAAATAATAATGAACAGAAAAGGTTATCTTTGTAAAGTAAGTGGTTTAAGAAAGGTCAAAATGACAGTTTGTTTTGAAAATACTGAAATGAAGCATTTAAACTTTCCTGGGAAAAGAAATTTCCCTGATTTTCTTTCTGACAAACCTCTTCATTACATTTAACTTGAAATTATGAATAGTTTTTCCACTTCAAATTGCACTTCTGGCAAACTTAAGTCTATCCTGGAGAGATTCCACCAGCTCTGTTGAAACTGGCACATGCTCACATACTTCACTGAATAAGAGACTTCACCCTATAAAATGGGGATAAGAATAAAACTTCCCCAACTGATGGAGAAAAATCTATAGGTTGAGCTGTTAATGCCTGTAGATACAAACTAGGCAGACACAAAAGGTTTTGGCTTCCTGAGGTACAACAATTCACAGAGAAAGGAATTCTTGTCTTTGTATTAATGGGAACTAGATTAGGTCTTCAAAATCTTAACTAGTTAGATGAATAAAGAGCTAAAAGATAACACAAGCTTAAGTGCTTTAAAATTATGCTCTAGAAGGCCTCTAATTTGCAGTATTAAAATATAGCTCTTTAGTTCAAAGTGATAAATAGACATGGGCATCCCGTGCGTGGCTGCAGTCATAAGGCAGGTAGGGTTTCCCACTGCAGCCACCACACAGTGACAGTGTCCCACGTCCCACAGCAAACAACCAGGATAATGCTCTTGGCTACAAGAGGTCTAGCATTGTCCCTGTGCAGGTGCCACTTACCACTGCCTTGTTTGTCCTCTTCTCTTCCTGACCTGGAGGGGATTTCAGTAAGAAAACCAGTGATCAGAATGTTTTGGGTGGAATTTTCCCATTTTATTATATGTGACATGTTTGAGACTGAGTTTTGCTGCAGATTCGTAGCCTATGGCCATGGGCAGGAAAGATGAGGCTTCACTGAAATGTGGAGCAAACGTACACAAAAAGAAAATGGATAAAACATTAAAATGACAGCTTGCTGAGGTAGCTTTTTGTCGGAGTGGCTTTAGCCTGATCACAAAGTGATGTGCAGTAGTTGACACAGCCTTTTCCTACGTGGTGAAACAAAATTGATGCTTAGTTTACCCGCTAGACCAGGATTTGATACATGCACAAAATATCCCAACCGGACCACAACAGGTGTGCCAAGAAAATGGTGAATGTACAGAGAGATGTGTCTATACAGTAGGCTTGAATCAAACATCTAATCAGATTTTGTGGAGATGGATGCAGAGGTTTGGTCAATGAGCCGTGCTCTGCAGCTGAAGTCTATTGTTAATTTTAAAATGCTTTTACACCCCATGCAATGTGACAGCACAGATGCAGAAAACAATGCCAGAGCTAATAAAAAAAAACTGAGAGCCAGAGGAAGTGTAAGTGTTTTAGGCAAAATTCTGGCATCTGTAAAACCAATGGCAATACTCCCACTCCCTTCTGCAGTGCTGGGATTTTACCCCTTACCTCTAGAAAAGTCAATGGATATTCAATATTATGAATATCCATTACACTGGGGTTTATTTTGTAAAAGTCTTGGGTTTAACTTCTGAACATAATTTCCAGTGAGCTTTTGTTTAGCCCACCAAGGTCAATTAACGTAATTCCAGAACTTCTGGATCAAGTTTTGTGTAGATCATTCTCTATAATGCATTCATCTGTCATGGACTACTCACATCTTCTATTTTCATTTAATTCCCTTTGAAGTTACCCGCACACCTAAAGTTAAGCCTCTTTTAAAAATCTTTACAGAATCAGTCACATAGTTTTTGTAATTCTCCATTCAGCTGGTGTGGTAAGAGTAATAAAAAAGATCTGTGATGTATATAGACTTACGTGCTGTGCTCTTCCTTCGAGTTGCTGCATTTCTATAGCAGTAAAACAAAAGTCCTGTCTGCAGGGAATCTTGTTGTGGTTAAAAATCTATATTTTCATTTTCTCCATTTGTTCTATAAAGCTGAACTAACAGGCACAATAAACATACATAGAAATGTGCATACAAATATTTAAGAACAGCAATCATACTGGGGAGGATGCTGGAAATATATACACTTGTTTTAACCAATGTAAAAGTTGTTTTATTTTTTCAAAGACTAAAAATGGAAAATATTCATGTATTAATTACCGCGGGATATGCAAATATAGGAAGGGCCTTTTTTTATGTGCTTTTAAAACTTACACAAGAAATGTTGTGTCATTTACTCACATACAGCATGACATGTTAAATTTACATTCCTATTGGTTCCAACAAGATTTTACCATGTACAAGTAGAAATAATAAACACCCATAAATATAATAAAATCTGCTTGCATAACATGTTATTTTTTAAAAGAAAAATATAACTTATACTAGCTGCTGCCAAATATTTAAGTCATCTCTGTTTCTAGCATTCACTCAAAGCTCAAGGACTTCAGCTGGGAAAGCTCTTGTGAGCAGTGCAAGCGCAGACATGCGCACCCAAGTCAGTCTCCCTACGGGGGTGAGATGATACCCACTTTCTGCAGCTGCAACTGTTGATAAAGAGGAATAAGAAAGGTTTAAATTACAGATGCCAGCTTTCCCCTTTCTCATTCCTATGGACAACAGGGAAAATGAATCCTCCACTTTTTACAACTTCCAGTGAAATATTCCCCAGCTCTTCCCACACTTTATGTGTATCCCTGGTATTTTGAGGACCTTTCGTTTACAAGTGTGATGCTACATTTAACACACCTTTTACTTGGTTTATTGTTAGATAACAAAAAAGCACAGCATTCCCCATTTTGCCACCCTCACAGCAGCACAAGGTAACCTGGATCCCTTGTCCATGCAAGGCAGCTGAGACATGCTTTTACCAAACCTGATCCCCTCTTCCCCCTCGTACTGATGCTTTGTCACCAGCTTGTAAAGACCTCATCTAGGGCCTTGCAGAAGTGGTCAGGGCTCTTGTAAATAAATAATAGGCATTCTCCTTTTCTAGAGCAGGTTTTCCTACAGTAGCAGTTTCAGTGCAAACTTTTTCCATCATTACTGCTCTTTCTTCCAGTTTCAAAACCCAGCACTTTATTCTGCTCATACAGAAATTCCTATAACAAGTGAGCCAAGACAATCCTTTCTAAAAGGGCAGTGAAAGAGTTAACAATGCCCTTCTGTGCAAAACCACTAACAACTGGGGGAATAAAAAAAAAAAAAAAAGAAAAAAAAAAGAAAAAAAAAGAGAAAAAAAAGAAAGTTTTTAACTGAGAAATGGAAAGGATCCAAATTCTAACTGAGAGTAAAAGCACAGAGAGTATGAAACGCACAAATCATCCTGGGTTTGGAGCTGATAAAGTTATTAAAAAAAGAAGGGGGGGGGGGGAAGAAGAAAAAACCCTTTTGCTTCTGCCCTATACCTTGAGGCTGTGGGAGCAGAGCGGGAGGGGGAGCAGAACAAGTCAGACAGGAGCCCAGTGCAGAGCCCCATCCATCCCCAGCGGGAGCTGGGCACGGGCTGGTGCTCCTCAGCTCCTCTCTGCTGAGCTCTTGGCATGAGCTGAGTCGGGTTTGGTTGCGTAAACTCGGCACTTCTTTGGCTTTTTTTTCCTTTTTTTTTTTAAAAAAAATTATTATTATTAGCAAGTGGGAGAAGAGAGGCTTTTAATACAAGTGGGCTGAAGCCTGGATCCGACCGGAGAGCGGGGTGGGGTTTGGAGGGCCCTGCTGGCTATTGGGCCATCCGCTTAGCAACAGCATGGAAAGGGCCAACCCCAGCATTTTTACAGCTGGGACACCTTCCAAGGATGGGTGCCAAATGCTCTGCTTCTCTGCCAAGAAAACAAACAAGGGCACTTTTAAAAACTCCAGAGTTAAAGAGTTTTGTTTTTTTTTTTCCCCCTTTCTTTTTTCTTTGGTCCTCCACAAACTCTCATCTCTTATGGTTAATGATCTCTTTCCCTTTATTACCAAAGCTCAAGCTTCAGCTAATTGTCACTTCTGCAGGTTTCAAGAGTTGCTTCCACTTTCCCCATCTGTGGCTGTCTCCCATCTACAGGCTGGAGCAGGCGCTGGAGTTCAGTCAGCCGATCTCTCTTCAGATGCTGCAGGTTCCCTCCTTTCTTCCTTAACTGTAGAAATCTCTGCTGTCTGCATTAGCATTGAAATCTGCTTGCTATTGCCATGCGTTTATATAACTTACACAATTTACTACCTATGTCACTTTCCCATATTCTATCTCTTCGTTCATTACAAGCCTGCTAAAGCAGTGGAATAAGAAGCACAGAGACTGAAATAGGCAAAAAGCGGCTTGTATCTAGAAACCCTTTTTTTCTCCAGAGAAATAAGAAAAAAATTGTGCAATTCCCATTTCCTTTTACTAAAGACATATTTTTACGTTACATTTTTAATGCAATCCTTGTTACATATTAGTCTTTGTGACTGCTGAAGTTGAGGTAGAGCCAGACTTTTGCTAGGAAGAAATATGGACTACGTTTTTTTACCAGCTGAGAAAAGTGTAGGTCCGTATTGTGACCCAAAATATCTTCTTTCCCTGTGAAGCAGAAAAGTAGAGGAGTCAGAGCCCATTTCCAAGAAACACCAACTGTCTTCAGGTCCCCATGGCTTAGCGCCTACCCAAAGAGAGCTCTCTCATTGGATCTTGGCTTTTATGCACTAGAGGAAAAAAATTAAATTGAGATTTCTGTTGCTGTTGTTGTTGCTATAAGACACATTGGTACGAGGTGAAGCCAAACAACACCTCTTGGGAAATATTAAATACTTCACAGAGAAAGGCCTGAAGAGGCCAATATTACAGGCCTTTTCTCACATCAGTCATTCCATTAATTTCAGAGACACTGCTCACATGAGGGAGGCTAGCAGGGTCAGGCTTTTATTTGCACACAGTAGCACCTCTAAAGGGTAAAGGATGTCATCTGCAGTCATGATCCTGTTTCACTTCCTACCTCTACCTCTGATTTACTGGGAGACCTTAAGTAAATCACTTAACCTCTCTAAGACCAAGTTTACCCAAGTGCAAGAACATTCTGAACCTCCAACAATATTTGTGAAGTACTTTGAGGTCCTTGGAGAAAAGAAGTACTGCAAATTGTCAGCATAGCTGCTTTTACAGAAATAAATCTAAGTTTCTGTGTTTAAGCATTTGTCCCAGCTTCATCCCAATCTCAAACCTGCATACGAGTGATTATACACCAGACCCCATAGGGAAAATATGCAGGAAAACAGCATGAAAGGGCATCTCACTCAATTGCAACCAGGCCCCTTGATCCAGCCAGTTGGGCTTTGGGCATGCCATATGGTGAATTTCATTCTCAAAAATTTTTAGCTGATATATTGAGGTATATGTTTTTGCAGCTGCACTCTTAAGCTGAAACTGCAGTTTGCTGATGTGGAAGCCATGGTCCATGCACTATTTGCTTTCTCAAACTACCCAAACATCCGTTGTTAACAAAAGCCAGGCTGGGGAAGATTTTTCTCAACAGCAAAGAAACAAGATGATGGGAACTTGTGTGGTTGTGACTGTGCTCCCTGTCCTAGGCAGAGCTAGGAAATGCATGAACAACAACAGGAACCATACAAAAAAAGGCGTTTAGGTAAAGGTTCACTGCAGGGAGAAAAGGGTCTTCCTTTTTTATCTGTACTGGTTCTGCTTATCTTTTACTAGAAGTTGTTTTTAGTAATGAGGAAGTAGAATATAAGAAATTAATTTGTTTTTCTCATGACACAGCAAAATATACAACCTAATAACTCAGAATAATATCCCTTCTGCCCTAAAGAAATAATCTGACAAAATTAAACCAAGACTTTATCTAGAAATTGCCCAATTTCATAGTAAATTTCCACTCAACTGAAAAAGCTTTGGATAAAGCCTTCATGTGGGAAGCCAGCAAACTTAAGCAAGATCATAAATGCTTGATACTAATTCAGGACTAGGGTCTTAATAATTTTTCATTCATTACCTAGGTGATCAAAGTGCTACATACTTTGATGGGAATTTACAGGACTACAAAACAGGACAAAATATTGTGGCACATGAGGACAGCCAGATCAACCTGAATGCCTTGAGCCAAGAGTCAGCCAATACGCATTGAAGCACCATTTGTCAACATGCTTCCCCCAAGAACGGATTCCTTCTTGTGCTGCTGGCTCCAGCATGCTCAAAACAATTCCACCACCCTCTACAGAATGTTTTACAACCACCTGAAATTGTACTGTATTCAAGGGGTACACACATTGTGTCTGTAATTCCTATATACCCATAATTGGTTTTATAACACCTCGTTACAGTAGATAGTAGAATTTGCCAAGAACTTGATATGAATGCATTTCATAACATGCTTTATATAATCCATTATTAGAGAACATTGCTGCATCTGTAATTATGTTTGCAAATGCATTTTATTGAGTTCTACATAAAAGTATGCAGTACTGAAACTAGCTTTTAGGCTGCAGAAGTATATATATACTTTGCTTCCTCCCATATATTTATTTTTTTCTGTAGAGTCAACACTACAAAGGGAAAAGTGCAAACTTTAGCCTCAATTTCCTAGTGGACTCCAGCCCCTGACCCAAGAATCTTTGAAGCTGGAGACAATTCAGACCTTCCCTGGAATCCTGTCATTTTTACTGTCTTTAGTTCTATATAGCAAAAATAACTATGTGAGTTCTGGCTTCAGGCTGATCAAACATTTCAATGTCTCTTCTGCTGCTGATATCACTGTGAGAGGCACAAATCATATTGGGTACAGACTTACATCTACCTGCAGAGCCCACACAGGTAACTGCGCTAGAATCTACTAAAGCTGGTGCTAGAAATATTAAATATAGTCTGATTTCCCAGCTTCTTTTTGTCAAGGTATGAACCAGAGAGAACCTGGGTTGGTGGTCACAACCTCAGACTGACTATGAATGACCAGCAGATTTGGGAGGGGAGCTGCCTTCAGCACTCCTGATGATACCCGTCTGCCTAAGTCCAAGCAGTGGAGCTTAGTTGCTTCCCTCCAGATTTCCAAAAGAACCTCTCCTTTACATAGTTAATTTGCAAGAGTCAGACAGTTCAGACAGCAGCAGCATCTTTCTTCCACTGCCTTTCAGTCTGGGTTGATTATTTCATCTGAAGCTGAAGTACAAGACCATTACAAGCCTGCACATACACTGAGCAAATATGCTACCATGTTAATCTGTTGTGAGACAGTTATCTGTTGTGTACTTAAAAAATACAGAACATGTGAATTTGGTGTTTTGTTTTTTTTTTTTTTTCTTGTGCATGGAAATACAGTATAAATGTGGTAAAAAGCTCAGACAAGGTAAATTAATTATAGTTCAAGCCTTTTTCCATTTATGGTGAGCTTTCTCCTTCCTTCCCAGCCCCCCGAGGAATCACACTGTAAAACACTCTCTCTAATAGGTTTTATCTCATTCTGCCTTGCCTCCATTTTCTCCAGCTCCTCTAGTGAATATTTGTCTTTCTACCTGCTGCCCAGTTAAATCAGCCTCAGAGGCAGTGACATATGCCAGATCGCAGGGGCTGTCACTTTAATTCCCTGTGCTCATATTTTTCTCCTCCTAGTGGGGTGCTGGGGGCAGATGTTTGGAGAAGGGACCCCTTTGCCGCCTGGCACACTGAAGTCCTGACGTTAGCTGCTAACTATGGGAGCTGAAATCCTGGCCCTGCTGACAGTACCCAGATTTAAACAGCCAGCTTCTCTCAAACACATTTGAGTTCAGGTTCTAGACATCATTAGAAATGAAACCTTACACTCCACTACAGAAATGCTTCAGGAGCAGTTTCTTCCAGTTTCAACTCAGTTACCTTGTCTAATTCCTGCCTGAAGACAAAGGCCTCCACAAGGTGTGCGTGCTAATGCTGGTCGGCTCCCATCCTTCAGCCTTCCACAGAAGAGCTATATTCCCATCTGGCAGACCCAAGAAGCTTAGCCTTTCATTCTGACATTGCACAGATCGTGATGATAGGCTCCAAACCATTGGTAATTCCACTGCAGCGCAGTTTACAGAGGGAAAGTCTGTGTGAGGACTCATGAGGGACAATGGCTTGATGAGTAGCACATCCCTTGTAGCTCCCTGCCATGAGCAGTGGCTGCTCTGGGGCCACATCGCATTGTGGATAAGCAAACACTTGCATATTCTGCACCTTCTCTCCTCCTCAGAGAGAAAGCAAGTGGATGACCCCTTCCCCTTTAGCACAGACCTACTGCTCAAATACACCTAACTCAGGTTTTGAAGAGTGTGATTTCTACTCTATGGGATAATACCTTAGAGCCTTTTGAAATATCTTCATTGACTTCATGCAGCTTTCATAGGAATATTGACTTTAAAAATCTCACTAGGCCAAAACTGCAGTTCCTACCTGGCTTCTTAGGGGTGTCAGTATGTTTTCTGCCAATCGGACTATGACAACCTAATCTTCTGCTGGCAATTTCACTCAGGAGTAATGTGAAACCTTAAAGCTTCTGATGGTTGGCTAAAACCTCCCAGTTACATAAACCTTCTTCCATCTCTGGCACCGTATTGAGCACCTTAATCTAAGTCTTCCTAAGGGCAGTGGAAATTTAAGGCTTAACCAGATAAAAGCTTTATGAAACAAAATAACCATGATTTATTTGTGGGCTACCTTTGGGGTTTTAAACTGATGTTTATCAGGAAAATACTGGAAAGGGGAAAACAGTGAAATCACTGATTAATGCAGGCACAGTGGCAGAAGCAGAGAGGTTCTGCGTGATAGGGTAGAATAAAATGGACCATGCCCTCTCATTACCCTATTGCTCCCCTATACCCAGATCAGGGGACACCCTGACACGCTGCTGTCCAAATAGAGTTTGGTGTTCCTTCTGGGGAAGTTACAGTTCCCAACACCACACCTTTTTTTTCTAGCTAGAACTTAACACCACCTCTAAACAGACAATGATATAACACACATCTCTAAGTGCGAGCATCCAGGGAGCGATAAATTGAAGGTTCGGGTTTTAGTTACATTAATAATGCATACAGAAATGCTATTTGAAAATCAGAAAGTGATACATTTTATGCTGTGCAGTTTGTGGGGCAGGAATGGAAAGAAGAAATTTAGATTTACATTTTCTTTGTAGTGCTGGGTCAAGGTGACTCCCAGCATAAGCTGGAACAACCCCACTGGCAACCTCCTACGCACCTACTTCGTGTTGCTCCAGCTCCTCTCCCCAGCTTAGTCACTTCCCCAAGTATATCAGAGGGGGAGAACTGGGAGAGATAAGGCACAGGATTGCCTATTCCCTCCCTAGGATGTCCTGGAGCATGACACAGGGGCTCTTTCCACTCCTTTCGTCCTGTCTCCTGATAACAGTAAAGGATTTCAGTGAGAAAACTGTGCCCAAGGATGTCATCGTAAATCACGGAAGAAAAGGCTGGAGCAGAGCCTTCAATTGCTTTTGAAAGAAAGCAAGCAAACTGTTTCTACTGAACTTTAATGACCACACAAGCTAGACATAAAAACAGTGTGTGAACATTCACGCTGCAGCATGAGTTTGCTCCAGCTGTACTAGTATAAGATGGCAGACTATGGGCATTTGAATCCTGCACGGTTAGGAAATGCATACCTGACTGCTCACTGGTTCTGCCTTATTTTACAAGTGCTTGATTCAGTCCTCCTAGCATGAAGGCAATTGGGAAATTAACTGGGAGAATGCTGCACCCTTTGCAAGATGGGCTGCTCATGCGTACGGTTGCTTTTACTGCGGGCTGTCGTGACAGAAAACTGCAGTGGTGCACTTGGGGATACTTTCTATGAGATGGGAATGGGGCATTGCTAAACAAAGCAAGGCTACAGGCTTCCCAGCATACCACGGTGCTGGCAATTAAATAAGCCTCTGAGCCACGTGTGACTGTGCTCTAAGAAAATACTGTGATTCAGAATGATTTGGGTAGAGGCAAATATTCCCTTAAAGAATCCTGCCTGGGCTCCTCAGTGCATGGAAGGTGGGAGAGAAGAGTTTCCCAGTCTTGGTGCAAAGGTGAACTCTGCCCAGAAAGAAGAAATCTGAGCCCACTTCAGCCACCTAAGGGCATTCCACCAACCAAAATGGAAAATTAATTAAGAGAGTGAATCATTTTCTGAGACTTACTCAGTTTTGTACAGCTTTAGTGTTCGTCTTTTCTGTCAGTAGAGAAGCTCTTGATCCAACAGGGTGTTTATAGCCATGTTTCCATAGCACCCTGGCGTGCAGAGCCAGCTTGTGTGAATGACCTGCAAGACCTGTTTATAGACCTCCATTAAAGAGCCTCTCATTTTCTTGGATGATTATTGTACGTGTCAAATAAAGCTAGATTACCTGTTTTATGTCTTAGAATGATAAGCAAGCCAAAGCAAGTCATTTGGCTCATGTAGCTATGCAGGTATACCTAGATATATGCATACATATATTATTTCAAACACTCAAGGCAATCTTACAGCCTTTCTTGCTGAGATTTCGAAATCTTTTCATTTTACCAAAAGGTTCCTCTTGGTAAGGCAATGCAGGGATTTAATCTTCACTGGCTGAGCTGCAAAGCTATTTTGCAAGTTAACAGAGGATGGTGTGGGCACAGTGCAGTGGTTTCATGGGGGCAAGAAGCCCTTCTCTCAGAAGGCTGGTACAGTCCTCCGTGATGGAATGGGTGTCTCAGTCACAACATGGCTTGGCTCAGCGGCGGTGCCTGCAATGGTAGCGGGAGGTGAAGCATGTGCTGACAGAGCTCGTTGCTGGGAAGCTTATAAATGATTCCTGGCACTATAGTTGGCAGTGGCCAGTGTTACCAGTCCTACCATTGCATAACATCTGCACTTTACCACAATCACCAAAACAATCAAGCAAGAAAAGCATGCTAACGCTTGTTGGAGAATAAACTCAGCAGTCACTCTAACATCACACACTATTCCAGCTTGCAGCTCCACCTCCTTCTCCTTCTTTGCCTGGGACGAGTGGGCTCCTGCGCTGGTACCCGGAGGCCCCACCTTCCCGGGCGTGGTGGGGACCCAGCCCTGCTTCCCCTGGGCAGAGATGTGCTCAGGATTTGGGATGTGCTGACTCAGTGATGCACGGCTGATTGCGAGCGGCAGTTTCAGCCAGCCAGCCAGCTCCAGCTAGTGCATAATATGCATTTACCAACAAACAGACACAACCACAGGCTTCTTTTATACATGGATTCCAGAGCCTGGACGGCAGAGAGCTGGCTCGGGCTGAAGACTCACACAGTGCAAATGAGGGTACGTGGGAGGCCTGCGCAACGATGGCCTTTGTGCTCCCACAGCTTGGGTCAGCTAAATTCTCAGTGAAGCCCCATTCCTCAGCATAATCGAGAGATGCTCAGAGGCTGCTCTAATTAAAACAGATTGCAGCAGCCCCGGGGAGGCTGTTGCATGAAATGGAGTCCAGTTGGACCTAGGGAAGCTCTAGGAAAAACCCCTTTCTCTTCCACCTATTCTAATGTATTAATTTATGCCCTCAACAGATCCATTACTCAAAGGTATGCCCTAAAAGCCAACAGATTCAAGTCCCTGCAGGACAAGCCCTAGACCAAGGTATCCCTTGCAAGAGTCTCAAGTCCTCACTTGAGTGTGGCTCACTCTCACGCAAAAAAAAAGATGCTCTAGCTGACATGCTGCTCCTCTCAAACCATGAGGCAACATCCCCTGAGAGGAGAGGGTGTCTCTCATATAGACAAGCTATTCCAAGACTGCTGGGCCTAATCCAAAATCAATTGAAGTACATGGTGAATCTTTCCACTGATTCCAAAGAGGTTTGAATTAGGCCCAAATGTCAAACCCCACACCATAAACTTTGCCTGGAAGCCAATATGCAGCCAAGTACCGATTCCTCAGCATTGGTGTCATGTACCTACAACGAGATACCCTGCTTACTTAGCAGGATGCTTGCCTTCAGCACCAGTTCCTCATTTCCCAGGGGATTTAGCTCCCTTTACTTCATTGCAATTCTCAAGTCTTCAGGTGACAAACCCATGGATAACAGCACCAAGTTCCACAACTACAAGGAAAGGTCATAGCACTTACCTTCAGGCAGAGACAAGGGGGAAAAAAAAGGGATAAAAGTCAACAAACCAAAGTTGCTATGCGTAAGGAATGGGGTCTCTGAGCTCTCGACCAATTATGTTAAATAGTGGAAAAATCTTTATTCCCCCACAACCAAATGGAGCAAATGATGACACAAAGGCCTCAGTGCTTTAATCAGCAGGACAAGTCAAGCCTTTTATTCCTTTGTATATTCCAGTCAATGGAAAGTTATTGCTTAATTAACCCCCTTGAATGAATACCTGATAATTAATAAACCCATATACTGTACCCCAAGGCTTTGAGTTTAAGAAATCTCTTCTGTTCAAGTATGAAAAAAGAAAACATGCTGAACTAATGGGAAATAATTCTGGTAGAAGGCAAACCAATTAGGATTAGTGAATTCCATTTCATTTAAAGTTCTAAGATAGAGAAGTAATTTATCTAGTAAATTAATAGTGTTAGTGACTTTCCTAATATATTAGCAAGTCTTTCGTATCATATTAGTGAAAACCAAGCTTGCTAATACAATAAAAGACTTATTATAAAGGTATGAAGGTTACTAATGTGATAAGATTTTTGCATCCAATTAGTATTAAAAGAACGCTGCTCTAAAACAGGCTTTTAAATTTATTTATGGTTACCCAGCCTACTGTAGAGGCCACAACTTTTATCTCAGCAAATTATTAATTCTTTTTCCAAATTTGGAGCTACTGTATGTTGTGTTCTTCATGCAAAACTGCATGTGTTCCTGTATCTGCCGATCTGCATGGATAACTGACCCAGATTATTTGGTCTGGCTGCACCGTGTTTAGCACAACACTACAGTGGTTTTGCATTCTCTTAACCTTGGATCAGCTGAAGACTGGTCTAATCAGATACAGCAGCCTAAAGGCAAAACAATTACACTGAAATTATCATATGGAATCAAGCCAACACTCCATCTTGTCTGGTATCCTGTCTTCATCAGTTACTAGATCCTCCCACCCTTCTCTGGAGCAAGGTGAAAAATACCTGCTGCACCAAGCTGATGAAATAATCTACTTGTTACAGGCATTTCTTCAGAGCCTAACCAGATACTGGCTTCCTGAATGAAAAAGCAAAGTTTATGTCCTTTTTAAAACCTTGAATTATAAGCTTTACCATTATTATAATGCAAACCCATTTAACTATTGCCAACTAAGGCTATACTAATGTGACAGTGAGTTCCAGAGGTGACTTTTCAATGGTATCAAAAGATATCTGCTTTGGTTAATTTTAAAATGTGCTGGGTTCTATACTGTATAATTAAATAACATCAGAACACAACTTTTTTTTTCCATGAGGGATCTCAACTATGTTTTAATGTTTTTGCTATAGGTGCAGTAGCAAAAGAGCATATTTCCCTAAGTACAACCAAGGTTGCACATGGTACACACAAAAATGGAAAAGATAAGAACCAAAAAGAGGTTTGGCTATATTTATTTGACCCATTGTTGTACAAATGGGTAATATTTTGGATCTCTGTATAGTTAATCTTATCTATTCTTACCAACAGTTCTGGAGTATCTGCCTATATATATGGCTTTGCAGTGTATTTATGCAGTCTTGAGAAAGAATTTTTCCCTTCTTATGGGGTTGACAGTGGAATTGTACAGAATCAGAAATATATACATCGGTACTTAGAAATCAGTTGTATTAGAGAATATAATTGGTGCTATTTTTCATATTTAAAGTCCCTGCAAGAGTAGTTTCCTTGGCTAGATCAAATTAGTAAAGTAGAAACAGATGCAGTCGATTGTCCATTGTTCAGGTTGAGGTATGGGTGATAAAGACTGATCACAGTCAGGGGATGTTAATGTGAGAAGATATATTCCTACACATTCCTCCGAAATCAGAGCTGTGACTGATCTGATTCATCTCACATCCTTAAATCACTGGAAATTGTCATAGTCTGGATTTCAGACTTATGTCCAACCATTTTACCTCATGAAAAAAGCAGCATCTTATACATACACCAGCCTGGAATTTTGCGTAACTTTGCAATACTCACACCTCCATACCTCCAAGCCAGAGATAATATACAGCAATCAAAGGTGTGTGCAGGAAAAAACATGAGCTATATGTCAGTATTTATACTGATACGGGAGTATATGCAGTTGAAAAGACTAGGATAAATTCCACCTGAGAAGACATCATGCACCTGCTTTTTTCAGCCCTTTCTCATAAATTCAGACCAAGGGAATTCCTGGTGAAATGCAAGGTTGGTCATATAAGAACACTGAAAACTGCATGTTTAGCTGCAGCAGCCAGCCTGAGCCATCATAGAGACAACTGCTACAATAAAATTTAATACTGAACCTCTACCTCCCTGAGCGTAGGAAGAATAATTATGGAAGCATAGTAACATGTATGTTTGACTGCATAACTCATTTATTGCCCTTGTGGGGGTGAGAAAGGATCCCACATCATTAAACCAGAGTCTAATCATATAGCTAACCAAATTTATGTCCTTCTTTTTGGAACATCATGGCCACATCTGGATGGAGACCACAGCAAAAAATTGAGTTATTTAAATTATTTCAAAGAAGAGGCAAAAAGGAGGAAATAGGGACACTGGAGGAGAGTGAGGAATTCAGTGGGAAAAGTAGGAATGGAGGAAGAAGTGAAGCTGCTAGAAGAAGAGTTCACTGGTTGAGAAGGAAGATTATGGAAAGCAAGGAGCTATGTATGCTGTAGGAAGAAAAGAAAAATGACTGGCTGTCAAACTATCACATAAAATAAGACAGCTGAAGAGAGAGGTCATGGGAACAACAAATACCAGGGTGCCTGTGGGGGCTGGGGAAAGTGACAACAGTCATAGGAAATCAGATGATGATTTGATAAGGGAAATTCAGATTCAGAGGTCAAAGGGGAAAAAGTTGTTGGTGAAAAAATAGGTCAAGGGAGCAGCTTGCCTTCATTATTTTGCTTTCGAACCTTTAATTTAACAGTTGCTAATGACAGACAGTTCACAAAATGACATTTGTATTACCCTCCAACACTGATGTAAAAATAGGCATAATCCTGTTTTTGTGATGATTAATGCAGTGTGAAAAGGATAATTAAATGAGGCCTGTTGTACTTTTGCTTTCAATGCCTCACTGCTACCTTCTGTGGCTCCTGCTCAATCTCCTTGAAAACCCATTAGGCTCTGCTACCACCATTTTATCACTTTCCCTGCGCTAAGTTAGACATGCCCTCCCCAAGCTTTAAACCAGGAGCAGCTCCTGAGAGGAAGCAAAGCAGGAGAGAGAGCCATACCGCCTGCCACCTCCTACTCATGTGTTTACCTGACCCTTATATAAATTCCAGCACAGTTTTTACTGGTAATGCTTACCTTTAATTGCCTAGTTCATGTAATAATAGCAACTTTTACCCCTTTACCCAGTTAGAAAACCTTTGGCAGACGAGTTCCCCATTGAAGGTGATGCACTTTACTAGCTCACAGTTTCAAATCTCATTTCTGAGAAGCCCGGGAAGGGAGAGGGGGACAGAGGTGTTCTAAAAACATTGAAAATACCCTGTAGAAAACATCTGTGTATTTGTAGAAAAAAAAAAAAAATAAAGTTCTGCTTTTTATATCCAAATTTTTTATATATATAAAAAAAGACATCAAATGTCTAAAAAAAGACCTCCATAATTATTTTCTTTGCTGATGGCCTAGAAATTTGCTGGATTTGATCTGAAATGAACTGCAGACAAATGTCAGCTTACTCCTGACATTGTCAGAAATGGATTTTCTTCCTTTGTGCTGCCCCATACATAATCAAATGCACATTCAGAATACATAATGCTCTGCTAGTTTAAAATTATTGCTTGGTCCTATGGCTGTGGAAAAGCAGTGGAGTCAGCCAGTGTTTCTTTGGGGTGCGTCAGCGGCAGAGGCAGGACTAGAACTGAAGACACTGCAATACCTCCCTCTTCTCCTTCCAGCTCCCAAAGCAATAAAACCTCTCTATGCTAAATTAGACTATTGATCAGTGGCTACCATTCCTAATGGACATCCTGTCTCTCATGTCTGGGATTAGGGTGCTCTTTTTACTGCTGGATAATCTTAGTACTGTACAATTGCTCTTTCTCTGCTAATGACTGGCTACAAGAAGAAATATTTCCTGGTTGTGTTTGTTTTTTTGTAAAATCTCATCACACAAACTCACGTGAGACGAGCTAGCAACACCAACCTGCAATCCAGTGCTATCTAATTACACTCAATCTAAATACCAGGTGCTTTATTTTCTATGAAGGGATGTTACGTGTTATAAGATACTTTGACAATTCAAGCTATCATGTCATAATATTCATTAGGAAAAAGAAAAGGGGGATGGGGGGGGAGTGCCAAATCTTTCTTCCTGTTCTGGTGATGGTCAAATGATAAGCACAAGCTGAAAGTCACACCCACCAAACTTCTGAGAAAGTGCCACAGCCTGAACATCTGCATCAAATACAGCCAATACAGGCAGGTTTTCAGCTGGGGTAGCTCCACACAACTTGTGTGTCACCCATTAGCAAAGTGATGGAATAACCATGCCCCTGGTAAACATACCCTAAACTGTATTGTGCTAAATGTCAAGGAGTGGTGGTGAATTAGCAGCCCAGACACAAAGCTGGAACTTTGCCTTCTCTGCCTTCTCTAAGTCCATATCCAGCACTCAAATGGATGTCAAGAGAAGGTCTTTATTTCTTTAAGTGTAAGCTGTTTTCTATCATATTGTGGCCTGTAATTCAGCACGCAAGATGTACTATGGCAATATGAGATAGTGACAGCAGCTGAAGAAATGCTGTGTTATAAACATGCAACGATGCAGTGAACTGGCAAATCCATATGGCTGGAAAAATGATGATGAGGAAGAAGAAAAAATTATTTCAGAGTTTTTGAACAAAATAGATACTCAGTAGTTTGCTTCAGCTTCCATGCCCTAATCATTTCAGCTTCCATGCCCTAATCACAGGTTTTCTTCTTTAATGGAAAAAGATTTATATACACATATATA